ATTATGGAATCCTAATGCGACCGCTTAAACTCGAATCGGAACTAAGCATCATATTACACCGATTTGGATGATGCTGAAAGGCTTTGGAGGAAAAAGAGAATATTTCAGTATAGTCCTCGCGAAACTGAGTAAAAAGGACGGCCGAAAACCGACGGGAAATAAAATAACAAGCCGAAAATATTATACTGCGACAGTTATAATTGTTAGAGTACGGATTTTGAAGCAATAGACAAATAAAAAAAAGCATTTAAAACAATGCAATAAAACTCCAAAAATCTTCCCCGGAAAAAACTCGAAAAAAGCATTAAATTCAAATCATGGTTTATTAAATTGTGTGTAATGTAGGTAGGTATGTGGGCCTGCTGTTTTTCTTATTGCTGTTTATTTCCACAGTGTTAATCTGTAAATTAAATCCATTCTGTTTAGGATAATTTATGAAAACAATTTAAATAATAGTTACAGAAATGACGGAGATAAAATCGATTGAGCCGTTTCCTCCGGAACGCGGTACATATTGTAATGTAAAAATAAATGTTAAATCGTTTGTTTCGAACGCATTTTGGAAAAACGTTACGAAACGTTACTTAAAAGCACAAAATAAAAAAGTGCCTAAAAACCTGAAAAAGCATAGAAACACAAAAAAAAGAAAGAAGTGAAATGAAATTTCGCGTGTTTACTTACAGTATTTATAGCCGACACAGCTTCGTTTTAGAACTATTGCAGTAAATAAAAAGCAAACGCCTTCAAAATCCGTATTACGCTGGTCGTAATATATTTTCGTTCGTTATTCGAGCTCTTCGTTTCGCGTGCACACTTTTTCACGCGAAATTGATATAATCGAATAACAAAAACCGCGTATTTGAAATAGAAATAAAACAAATTTTTTTCGCGCAGTTTTTTCGTTTTTATCGATACGTTCTGGACGTTCGGTCGCACACAACATCGAGTTCCCGGCATAGTATCGCGTGTTAAATACGGTTTAAGAATTAAATTTGTTTTGTTTTGGTTTTTTTTTTTTTTTTCCGAAACGGTAATCGCGCGCCGAAATATCTCTCGGCCCGTACGCGCGGGTTGTGAATCGTAAAACATTAAAAAAAAAAAAAAAAAGAAAGAAAAATCACGTATCTTTTTATGCCGGCGGGACGGAGGAGGTGGGAAGGAAATAAATTTCGCCCGGAGGCCGTGCGTATAAGGCATACAAATAGTTAGGTATAATTAGTTAGTTTAATATAATTAAAAAATTAATTGATATTCACGGACCGCGTTCGCTTCTCGGGCCTAGTCTCGAACGAATACATTATTTTTTATTGTTCAGGAAACGAACAAGACTTTCGATCTCGAGTCCTGAGTAGCACTTCACTGAAATCCGGACCGTCGGGGTTTTCTTCTCGATTTTTTCGCCTCTCCCGGCGCGGTCCGGGTTTATACCCGTCGCCTACGACTTTCGCTTCTCGCGACGGATATTCCACCCGGAAGCGAGTAGGTATTATTATCACGCCTACGCGGAATTCTCGAATAAAAAAGCAACTCCGACCGAGCTGCACGTCCTCTATACCTACCCACCTACGTTTAACGAACGTTAAAAATGGACGGACAAGTTGGGATGGTAGGATACGGACGGGAATCTAACGTATATCTGTCAGCAACGGTAAAACGATTAAAAAATATTATAAAATAATAAAAACTTAATGGTAACAAAAATTTAATTAAAACGGTTGACGACGATAATCTTATTTCAGATTCAGAATCGTTCAATCTTTTTTTTTTCTAACCGAAAGAACCGGGTTTACCTCGTTATCTCGAATATTAATGAGAATTTCAAAAAAAAAAAAAATTACCAGCTTTCAAGTACCGCCAAGAGAACATTTCCTTTCGGGAAATGCGCTGTACTTGGAAATCGGTGTAAGCCGTTTGGTGGAAAATGTGTTAGCATATAAAAAAATAATAATAATAAATAAACAAACGTCTTTGTGAAAACGATTTTTTATTCTTCGCTGAACTCAGAATCTGAAACCATCGAGTTATTGAGAAAAAACCGACGCGGAGTGCCGAGTGCGCGTTGAATTGTATACGCAATAACATTTTCGGACAGCTATCCCGAAACCGTCGCGTTCGATCTGATCGCGGACCCGTTAATCGCGTACGAGGTTTTTCCCAGTCAGTTTTTATCGCGCCGTTTCGGACATCGGTTGCCGTCTGTCGCGATAAATCAACGCGATTATGTTACCCGTTGGAAAACGTCGAAATCGATAATTAACAAGATTAGATAAACGTATCTGGCACAAAGGCCGTGGTCTCGGGATTACCGCAATAATAACAAATACCTAATTGTTGTACCTGCGTCAACGGTACAATAACATTGTTACGGGCAATAATAATAAATTATTGTTATCGTAAACGCTTGTAATTCCGCGGTGCTCGGCGCGCTCGGCTAAGATGCGTTTCGTACAATGTAATACAATGACAAAAAGAAAAAAAAAACCACACACGAAACAAACGATTCTTTTCCGGCGTTAAAACGCATATAATAATATTATTGTCTACGAGCCGATCGTTATTGCTTTTCGTCTCGACGTTTTATGATATTATGTAGCGATAAAGTCGACGTCCGATACAATAACAACTGCGGTGTTTATTGTTTGTAATATTCCGTGTTACGCACATTTCGGTTTAGACGATGAATTCACGGTGACGATATAAGATTTACCCCCCCATACCATTAAAATACAGTTATTTCACTAATCTGTTAACCATTTATAATGTTGTTCATAAATATTTTTCGATTTTTGATAAAGACAACAAGTTTCAAAACGTCATAATAATAAATAACAAATGTTAAAATACTTAGCGTTTGATCAAATCTCTTCGGTACACTTGTTCTAAATTTGTTAAACAATTGAAAAATACTATAAAACGACAGTTTAGAAATATTTTTCTATTACGCTCTGCGCATTTTATAATCTCGTGCTACGCACGACCGAATCGGTATTACGCACAAAAATAGACCCTGTACGATTGGCACGACAACGTTATCGCGAAAATTTTCTGCGCCGGAAATCGATAACCGACCGATAACGTTGTTCCCCCATCGTGTTGGTTTTCAATTAAAAACGGTTCGCTGGCAAAGACCCACCGACCCACCGCGGCCGTCGGAAACACAAACGTTTCAATAAAACATCGTTTATTACCCGGCGTACGAAAACAACGACCGGAACGTTCGTAACACAATAAATATTATTGTCGCGGTATTTCATTGGATCCGACGATATCAGTTTCGTACGCACAATCATTAAATCGATCGATTAATTATATCGTATACGTAAACCGCGATCGTTTTTAATCGCGAAAATAAAATTTAAATAATAATCGTTGTTCTCGATAATATTGCGGTTGTCGAAAACGTACGCGACAACCGCATTGTAATAATCGCGGCGGCGTGATATTTCTTCAAGTCATCATCGACGACGAACGTTCGAAGGAAAAAAAAAAAAACGTTTCAAAAAGTCATATCCGCGACATTTTCGTTTGTACGCGTAAGCGTTTATCCGACGAACAATAATTGTGTGTCGCTCGGAATATTTTTCCGTGCGTTTGTCAGCCGTCGCGGCGGATCAACGGCAAAATTATAATTGTTTCGTCCCATTTCGCTCAACGGTTACGTTGTTCGTCCGTCGGGATCACGGAACCCCCGACGGCACGCTAGCGTTGTGCGCAATAACAGTTATTGCTATTACACGCTAATATCGCACGCTCGTACACCCGCCGGTTGTATACAAATAGATATAATCCCCCACCCGAACCGTTTTCACGATGTCGTTATTATAACAATATTATTATTGTATACGATATCGTTATTGTCGTTGTAATAACATAATTATACAACGTTATTTTTGTGTAACTGTATGAATGTTATTTATTGTATAATTGTATGAATGTTATTTATTGTATAATTGTGTGAATGTTATCGTACGTTGCGAAACAAGACGTTTTTAAAAATCGGCCGTCCAATTAAAAATGAGCGTACGATATCGGGTCGGGATTATTGGCGGACGTCGCGCCGCCGTACGGTCGCAAAATTGCCTAGGTACTATAAATAAATAGCACAGCGGCGGCCATGAAAAAAAAAACGACACCGACGTGCCGCGTTACGGGTAAAAAAAAAAAATCAAGTGGGTCTGAAATGGAAAAAAAAACCGTGGCCAATGTGGGTGCGGCCGATGTGGCGGCCGTGACGGTGGGTACGGAATAGAAGAGAAAGCGGCGGCCAGACGAACGCTAGCACGGCCGTCGTTATTATATTATTACGACGATGAAATTAAATATCTCTGGACGGAACGGGGGATCTGCGCGTGCGTGCCACCGAGAACCGGAGAATGCCATTAGACAGAATTCCCGGGACAGGTCGATTGAGCATGGGTGGCGTCGGTGGCGGTGGTGGCGGTGGTGGCGGCGGTGCACAACATGGACGGATAGGTTTTGTTCAGTTTGTGTGAGCACGGTGTTTTTATTATACTACTTTCGGTTAGGACGCAGGAAGCCTTGAACTATGTTAGCTCGGCACGTCGGGCAACCTCTATCCGGGTACGAGTCGACGGGGTCGCCGCGTAATGGGTTTTTCATGTTAATGGCTCAACGCGGGTAGATGGGACGACGCCATTGGCCGACGGCGCCGCCGTCTACGGGCGATGCGGCGGCGGCCATGGGCGGGCGGGCGTGCGAGTCGCGGGGTACGGGTCTCGGCTCGTACCTCGTTTAGAGGCTACGCAGAATGGTTTCCTCTTTTGTTTGGCCGTTTCACAACGCAATCATCGCATCGTACCGCACGCACACGCCGGTACCGTTTACGCGCACACTGTGACACTTTCTCACGCACACCGCCGCACGTTTACGTCGCGTACGCGCGCACACACTAGCAAACACCGAGAACCCGCGCACGCACACGATCGCGCGTGTATCATTATCCGGTACGTCGCCGTGCTCGGTGCCCCCGCTCGTCCACGCCGCCGCCGTACTAATCCCCACCAACATTCTGCCACGGCAGGACTGGCGCTTCGGTGTCCCGGTGTTCCGTCCGAAACCATCATTCCCGTGGTAGCTCGTGTCTCGATCTTGCCTGTGCCGCTCTCTTTGACTCCGAAGTGGCCGTCCACATTATCATGCAGTATCCGCCGTCAGTCCCGTAGACGCAACCGTCGGTGTTGCTCTATACCGTCCCATGTTTTTTCCCGCCAAATTTTAATTTTTTTTTTTTAAAATGCGGCTGTCCACGTTTTAAAAACTGTGTGTCTATCTATAAACTATTGTTTTCGCGGACGTTTTCGTAGCTGATTGCCGGGTCGTCTTCGTATTTTAACGTAGACAACCCGGCACGAAGATGGCGGCGTCCGTCGTCAGCGTGCCAGCGAACGAAGGTAAATTATTTTATTTTTTTTTTTACATTCTTAGTTTTCGTTATGGGTGCTTTCGTAATATTTTCGACGTACCCGTAGACGTCTGCGATTAACGTTATCGTTCTGACCAGCATTATCGGTCCGATAAAATCTATTGGTATTTTTAACGGTCGTTGGTTCAAAAGGGTTGGGCGTTCAGCGGGGTAGGTACCCGAGGGGGGGGGGACCTCGGGTACCTACCCCGATAGCCGTTCGATACTTAAGAAAATACGATTTCCGTCATTTTGTTACTACCGTCGGTGTTCCGGTGTTGAACGATAATGTTTACAACAGTAACGGTCATATTATTTCAGGTGATGGGGGGTGAGGGGGTTAATGGGGTAAAGATCGATGCTGATTGTGTTCGATATGTATTTATTTTATTACAGACTTGAGCGGCGGGTACCTATGTAGGCCATAATATTATTTAGGTACGTACCTGTCGTTATCGAGAAAGAAAGGAAACTGGTAGCGAGCGGCGGATATTCTCCTCCGCACCGGTTTGACCCCCCCCATCCCTACCCTAATATGAAACTGCAATTGACTGCAACGAGACGGGCGAATATTATTGTGTTACCGTTCAAAATATTGTTATCCGATACGAATGATTTTTTTTTTCTCTAATAGGTAGGTACAGGGGGTATATCACTAACGAAAAGCGTTGTTCAAATGTTCTGGTAATCGCGGAAATCGCTGGTGGTTATCTTACAACGGGAAACCTCGGTAACCGTTGGGAAAATCGTGGCGTTCTGGAATGTGGATTCCGGTGAACACAGTATTAATCGGTGATTTACCCTTTGGGTAAATAGGTACCCGCCTGTTGACAACTATAATAATATTACTGTTTGCAATAGTGTAACGGTAACCCGTTATTAATTTTGGGAACTGTTACTAATTGTCATCGTTGTTTTCAAAATAACAGTTGCTTTGAAATATTTTATGCTCATTACTAGTAAGTTGACAACTGGAGCGCGTGAAAATCCGGAACGAATCGGGTCCGGAAAATTAAAACCGGCATGTAGATCTCCGATTAATATTCGTGTACGCCGGATTCCAGAATCCCGTGGATTTTCACAACGATTATCGCGATTTTTTTCTCGTAGCACATTACCTACAACATTTTCACGATCGTTAAATATTAATAATTGTACACCGATTAGCTGTTAATCACCCTCCTGTAAAAACTGTACAAAATGTGTTCCGCACGTTACCTCCGGGTGTCGTCGGTTATTTTTTCTTCTTATATTTCGCGATTTTTAATCCTTGTTTTTTTTTCGGCATTTTCAATCGAAATCGGTCGCAGTTTATCCGATTGTTGACGGATCGTCGACGAAACGTGTTTTCAAATAAAATCTATGTAGGTAATATGATGGCCGTTATACGTCGATAAAAGTACAATATTTTATAAATAGTGTACCGATTGTGCGGGATTTAGAACGGTTTAAGTCACTCGTGATATAATTAAGTACATCAGATTCTGGAATACTCTGATTTTTTCTCACCGTTTACCAAGGTACCCTATAAAAAAAATCACCAACATGTTTCCTATAAAATTACCGAAGATTTTCGCGATTAACAAACTTTCGTTCATTTAACCTCCGGTCAAAATGTAATATTGCGAGCGCGTGCGTGTGTGCGTGTGTGCGTGCGAGTGTGCGTGTGTGTGTATATATAGGTATGCATGTATGTATGTATGTATGTATGTATGTTTGTTTGTTTGTTTGTGTGTTTGTAAAAGTCCCTATTTAAGTATAATATTAAAAATCGCGAACGATTTTTTTTCAGCGTAGTTTTAGCGCTCGTTTTACAATGTTCTAATGCCGTTTTTGTACCACTGCATACGTATTTTATTACTCAAAAATGTACGTTTTAATTAAATTATGGCTCACAGTGCCATCTATCCGAGCGCGAGTGTAGTACACGAAAATCCCACCAGAGTGCATTGTCTCTATGGGTTCGAGCGCTGTGGGTGGTCCGTACCACCCACTGGCCCACCGTTGTTCGCCTGGGTTACCAACTGTCAGCGACGTATTGAATTATGGGATTTTTTTTACCTCCAACACCAACCCGCCATTATTATTCTTCACCGCACGCGTACTATAACTGGCGATGGGTATTACCAACCTATACTTTCGTAATACATTTACTTGCTTTTGTCGGTCGTACTGTGTGACTAAATTTAATCGACTAATCGCACTTTTTATTCGACTGACGACTCGTGTCTCATTTATTCAGGTACAAATCTGTCGATCGTTGAAGAATATGCGCGTTTACGTACGATTTTTTTTTCGTGTTCGATATTTAATTTAAACAGAATTCAATGGTTAGTTTTTTTTTGTTTAATTTTTTTTTTTTAGATAAAAATAAAATTATTATTACCTATGTATGAAAAATGTAAAGATCAATATTTATATAGGTACTTGGCGTATTCATCAATATCGTATTTGTCTTACAGTGAATCGAATGTTTGCATTTATTAGTAAATAACAGGTACCTAACTTAAATGCTTTATTTTTCTTGCCACTCATTCACATTTTAACTCGAATTCCGTTCAATCTTTAAATAAAAAAACCCCGTGCGTATTTTAATATACGAGTTTGTTTATATTGTATCATTAAACATTAAAACCGCGTCGCGTTAGTGTACCTGTTGCACAGTATTACGGTTGAAAGTTGCGAGGACGTTCTACTTACCGTATTTAAGGAGTTTTGTGTAGGCAATTTTATCGACGTTTTCCACATGTCCGGAGCCGTGTACACTGGTCCATATGAAACATCAATAGATAATTAAAATATGGATAGGCTATCCATACCTTATCAGTGTTTCAAGGCGTTTCATAAAGTGATGTGTTTATTGACACTGTGATGAATCGCCTCAGTTTACCGCCCCTCCGGGAACATCGCTTCGCTTATACCAGAAATTTGTTTGATAGTACCGGTATCTTTTATTTTACACCGGTATACCAAATTTTAGGAAATTCGTCGACTTGCAGTTAGTACAAAATATCATTATCACATCTATAGTCCATACTCATTTGTTATCACACCGGTACACTTACCTTCGATATAATGGTCACTCTAGTCTTCTATCTTTATTCTTCACAGTTAAAAAATGTCAAAAAAAAAACAACGGAGAAAAAATTTCAATCGTAAATGTTATGATAATTTGATAGAACATGGAACAGTGGAATGATCGCGATGGGAACATTAAGAAAGGAGGGAATTATACCGGTATAATAAAAATTTCTAATTTTTTTATTTTATACCGGTATTATTAATTTTAAGGAGAAATTTATATCGGTAAAACCAAACGAATTCCTAGACAATATTGTTATAGAAGTGCCCATTTTTTTATTATCTATGGGAATATCTAGGCATATTCATCGCGGGTTTTGTTTTACATAATAGGTACACGCCCTCGTAGATGTCCATATTATACGGATAATATAGATATCTGTGGCGCACTCTACCGGTTTCTTGTTCCGAGTACAATGTTAATTCCACGGGCTCTTCAATGCGCCTCGTGAGCCTTTATCTTTTATTGATAAAGGCGCCTATCCCGGAAATACATAAGCACGAGCTCGATACTTGTATGAAAAATCAAGCTCTATTACAAGCGTTTATTTAAATATACGGAATGTATAATTTTTAATTTGTACAATAATTGTTGATTGAATATTAAATTATTTGAATCGATAATACATAAAATACTATATTACTATTATTATCACGTATTTTTAATAGTGTTATAATTAGCTGTAAATACTCGAAAGTTGGACCGTTGTTATTTAACCTCATAGTTTCAAACAATAAGTGCACCCTACCCAAATTCAGCGAGGTCTGTAAACGCCACGGGCTCCACCGATATATTCCCATCGTATCAATGACCCAAAAACGAGTTTTTGGTACGAAAATCTAATTTTTTTTGTTGATTTATACACCCCTATATTTAATTTAAACATTTACTGTGAAATGACGAAATTCGAACGAATTGGCAAAATTCGAAATCAAAATAAACTTTTCCTAGTGTCTTATTTCTGTTAAACGGCAGTCGTGGCGATAAGCCGTATCACAATATTATTGTATGGATTAGATAAATTCGTCCACTGTATACACATACTAGAAACGCAATTCGCCTATAGTGCTTTTCACGAAAAGTGGCCCTCGACGGTGGCGTGCCTCGCGGCGATATTTCTACAAACCAGTGGTTCTCATATTTTTTAATGTTATTAATTGTATTATTTGTATTAGCAGACAAATAAAAATCGTGAAACTAAATTAGCTGAATTGTTCATAATTTGTATTATGAAATACTGCATTTAAATTACGGTGTAAAAAATAATCATTTATAAGATAATATACAAATAAGTAATTAATTTAAACTTGCCTCACTTTGTTTCGCGCTTGTTTTAGAGCCCCTGCGTCTAATAGTCTACTAGGCGCGCCACCGTCGAGGTCCTCTTTTCGTGAAATCAACTACTGTCACTAATGCAACTTTTTTTTTTTTCTATTTACCAAACGCGATGCTGAACGAAATTCGGTGAAACGTTTTTTTTGCAATGTCGCGATTTTTTTTTACATAGATTATAGTATTATTAATTTTTTCTTAAAATAGATACCTAACTATCTATGCATTTTTTGGTCTATGGTTTTTGGTAGTTTTTCTGATTTTGAGTTTTTCATTGTTTTAACGAAAGAAAAAATAAGAATATTGGATACAGAGAAATCGTAAATTTATCAAAATCTCTACGAAGTCGTTGATAAATCATTGGTATATTATATTATTGTGATATTAATGTGTATGTATTGTATTATTGTGTATTGCTTATTGATTACTTTATAATTATTGATACCTAGTTAATTAACTAATGGTAATCCATTTAATAAAATATATAATTTATCAAATTGTAACCCTCTTAAATTAAAATGTATTAACTGTTGATTTGCCTATAAGCACTTACTGATAATTTATATTATATACAATATACCTAAGAATTAAATATATATTGTATCTATCTAAAAATGATATAGGTAATATTGAGTCTATGAAAATAAATAGTTCAAATAATTTTGCTGATAGGTAAATACCTAATTAAAAAAAAAATATTCCATTTGATAATGCATTAACACACTGAATAATTATCATCTACTTATATATTATCAGCTGTTATATAGTTATATTATTATTAATACATTTTACCCATTAAATTACAGGAATCAGTGTTAAAGATGAACCTGATGATCCAGAAATTGATGCAATGGCTATTAAAATGAAAGAAAACTTTCAAAAATCTATTGCTACAGCGAGGCAACAATCTGTTACTAATATTTATATTAATAGAGCCGGTAGACCAGTAGCATTAAATATTTACACTCCTAGTTCTAATTCATCTAAAGATACTGAAAATTTGCCACAAAAAGATACAGAGGATTATCCTAGCGAAAGAGGTAATGAGACGAACAAGGCATTTTTTTAACATAAATTAGATTTTAATAAATTATTTTTATATTCATATAAATAATATAGGATTATTCGGTTGGGAAGAAATTGGAACATGTCAAGTTCCTTACATTTTACGGAAAATTAATGGAGAAAATGTACGCTATGTAGCTGTACGAATAGCAGAAAACCAATTGCTTCAAAAATACTTGCACTTCTTGCACCAGGACATATACTCATGTACTTGTGTGAGAAGTCATTTCATCTCGGAATATGAAGCAAAAGTACTTAATGAAATAAACAACAAACACAGCGAAAATTTATATGGAAAAGAGCCATTTTGTGTCGGAAAAGATTTTATTGTTCTTTTAGAGGATGTCAAAGAATTTTATGCATTTCTTGAAACCTGTTATAAAAAATTGCTATGCAATATTGCACCTGGCCGCAGAGAAAGATGTGGTTTCATACGTATCAATTCAGAGTCTGTTGTACCATACTGCATCAAAGAAAACCATAAATATGTTCCACTCTTCTATTTTGAAGGTGAAACGGATAACTTGAGACATCGTGCTATTAAGCTGGAAAACTGGCATTTGGCGTACCTCAAATTTTGTTGCAAGGTTCAGGGTATCAGAAACGAGTTATTTGCTAGTGACTCTTGCACTGTGACTAGTCTTGATGACATAAAAAATTATTTTCCACCTGATACTGTTTTTGAAGAATATTGGCCAGCTAAGGTAGTTGACACCCAACTTCTTACTAATGCAAAAACTGCAACTTACAATACCCCGGGTTCCTGGATTAGAATACCACATCCCTCAGAAAATCCATATGCTGCAGTAGCAGCAGCAGCAGCATCAGCATCAGCAGTAGTTCAAACACCAACTCTACCACCACCTCCGAGTATGCCCATATGGCCTTCTACACCTAATCAAATGGTATGTAATGTGCATTCATTTATTGCTTTTTATTTTACCAGCTGATCAAAAAATGTTTTTTTTGTTTTTCCTGTATTTTTTTTAATATTATTGTTATTATTTTAGAGCCGTTGTTACTATTGTTACTACCAATGAGCTCTAAACCATCCGCTAGTCTAGTGGTCTAATGAACACATTTACTAGTTAAATTTTAAAATTTATTTATTTAAAATGCACTAATAGGCTTTATCTAGACTCTAACTTTCAAGGTAGAGTTTACAATTTGCAAAAAGTTGTTAAAGGCTGACTGGTTAGTAGTGCTTTCAAAAGACGAAAATGTTAAATTTAAGTATTCAATACAGAGAAGAGATGGTTTTTTTTAATTTTTTTAAGTTTGAGTAGTTGAGTTAACAATTAATAATAACAATTATTTTACTCTTACAACCAAATGGCATTTTTAATTTTTTTAAAAAAAGTTAAAGATAATTCTGAACAATTTCATTAAATGGTTTTTTATTTTGTTTTTATAACCTATTTGACCATGTTTATTACAGCGGCCCATCTTAAACATTGCTTTTAACCAGGTTACAAGAAGGTTATAAGAATTACATGTAAGCAGTTAATCAGGTTACTCTTTTGTTCAGGCTAACTTATAAAGCATATTAATGAAATAAATGTTATTATAGAGTTCTAAGCAAATTATTTCTCTATCAGATTATATAAAATGGTTGATTTCTTTACAAGTCTAAGAAAATTATGTTTTTTTTTTAAAATTTTGTACTGACTGATAACTAGTACTAGCGGTATAATTATAATAGTCATTTATCTTGAAATTGTCTCTTATGTTTCTATTACGTTGAAATTAACACTAGCTTAACGTGGTTCAATAAAATTTAGTGGGTAACAACAGCTCTAATTACCAATATTTTGAGTACTAAACTAAATAGTTCTATTGGATTCACTTAAACTTGCATAAAATAAATTGGTTTTATATAATCATATGCAGTAAAATCCAGAGTGAACCCTCTTTTTAAATATTTTAGATGTATCTTTAAACAGAGATTTCACTTTGAATCTAACAAAGTAATGGGAGAAAAATGCTTTGATGAATTTTTTTTTTTAATACATGTCTTATTTTTTTTTACCACAACCAAAATAGGGAGTTTATTTTAATTTATAACAATATGCAACAATCTGATGTAATTTTATTGAACATGTATTAAAAAAATATATCTATGAATAAGTAATGTTTTTGTAGATAAACACTAGTTCATATAACCCTCAGTCTCAGCAGTTGCCACCTCCTAGCTATCCTACTGTGACCAGAAACCAAAGTGCCGCTGTCCAATATTATAACTCGGTATTTTTTTTTAATCGTTCTTAATAATAAGTTTTAACTGTTAAGTTATTTGTATTTATCTTACTAACAAATTAAAAAACTTACTTATTCTAGTAATAAAATATCCAATATAAACCTAATAAATTTAATTGCATGGTATTTTTCTCTGTGTTCAAATAAAATATCAAACATAACTTTGTAATGTTAATTATTATACATTTTGAAAATTATAATTTGTCTACTGTGTTACATTCAAATATATGCTATCTACTACATGCTTGATGATACAATAATATGCTATCCAAAAGAAGTAATCACTTTTACTGAAATTTCTATTAAAAAAAAAAAAAAAAAAAAAAAACCTGCACTTATATAATGTGTTTTTTAGTTAAACTAATATAATGTTATTGTATTAATAATTAATAATTGTAAGTTTATCAAGATTAATCCGCAATTAGCTCAGAATCAATTTTTGTTAGCAATTAATTGTTTTGTACAGCAGATAAGCCTTATACATTCGAACTTTTTTAACTTTTTTTCTACAGTAGTAGCATACCTAAAAGTAGGCTGCAATATTTTTATAATATTTATTTTGGTGCATCCATATTTTGTTAAGAGGATTGGTAACTGTGATTTTCTGTCTTTGTCTTATATACGTGCAACATAGGAATTTAGACATGTTCTATTCCCAACACACTGATTGGTCTAGTAAAGTGATAAGAATTCTAAAAACTGATTTGCATTTGTCGTCAAGTCTATTTGAATTCAACTTTTCCAGATTTATAATTTTTTATTTTAATTTTTCCAAAAGTTTAAATATTCCATTTTTTTGATTACTCCTTTTTAATATGGTTTTTTTTAGGATTTAAATAAAACCAAAAATTTAGGAAAGTTGATTTCAAGTAGACTTGACGACAAATTCAAATCTATTTTGGGTATTCTTATCTCTTCACCATTCGGTACATTGGAAATTAAACAAATCAAAATTCCTATGTTGCATGTGTGCAAGACAAAAACAGAAAATCTTCACTTCCAATCCTCTTAAATTAATTATAATTTTAACTTAACTTTAAATATTGTCTGTAATTAATGATTTTATGGGGTGACATCTGAAAAGATTTTGATAAGACTGGGTATTGTTTTACTATCATGACAAATGTAATTCGGTTCTGGATATAATGTGGCTTAATAATTCAACCAATTATGCCCCCCCTCCCAAAAAAAAAAAAAAAACTGAAATAAATTTTTTATTTTGTTTATTTAACTTGATCTGTAATATTGCAGAAGAACTTAACAAAATAGAAGTACTACAATTTAAGCATGTAGATATTATATAGAAGATATTAAAAACATATAGCATAAAACATTATAGTTTAATTATATAGCAAAATTAACATCAAATTATAGTAGATAGTAATTTTGGACTAGTACTATCTTAAGATAACTGATAAATATCATTATGTCATTTAAATTCTTGTGTATTATAAATAATAATACAAATAAAACTGCTTGTAATTAGATATTGAAAATATTTGCAATTTACCTCTAGGCAACATTATATAGTTTGTTTGATGTACAATATTACAGTTTAATACCTCATAAATAACAGCATTACATAAATTGTGTTTTTATTTTGCTTAACTATTAATTATTATATTTTCTATAATCAGTTTCAAAGTCACAGCTCTTTATGTTCTGTTTAAATTAAATTTTTAGAACCCAACATTGATGCATCAAGGTAACACTCCAATAAACAACGTAGCGGGACATGCTCCTCCACCACCTTTAGTTCGGGCAGGCCTACAGCAGCCTGTTCCTATTGTGTAAGTTTTGAATAAAACCAGGTTTAATTAAACCTGAAAATAACATTCATATCAACATTTAATTTGTAGTAATTCTGGGTCTTACTCCAATGGATCCATCAACTCTACCTCAATGTATAGTCCGTCCAATAGCAATGTCTCTCACTCCAGTCAAGGACGGCAGTTTTATGGTGCTCCACGTTCTAGTAGTGTTGTCCAGGTTCAGCAACAGCAACAGCAACCAATGATAAATCAGTCACAGCAATCATATGGAGCTCAATCATTGCTTGGTGGAAACACAAATACCCGAATGGGCAACAACCAACAACGTAATATTTTGAGAAATGCAACTCTTACGGTTCCACCTTCTGAAATCATCGATTTATCCTCGCCACCTCCTAGCCCACCTCCACAGCAAGATTTGAGTCGAACTAATAATACTCAATGGACTTTAAAGAGGATACCGGAAAACTCCGCACAGTGGCAACAAAATAGTAATGGTGCTGCATATAAGGTTAGTAAATAACAATTATATTGTTTGTTTGGTATATTGAGCATTAACTACAAAAATAAAACCAGTAATCCCAAAAAAAAAAAATGTTTCATGGTAATTGTTAAATTTTTTACAAAAATTATTAATATTGTTGTATAACTGTATAAATTAAATAAACATGTTACAATTTGATGGAAAGTTATTTCCTAAATTTTAAAAAAAAAAATTTAAAAAAAATTGAATACAGACTTTGGTAATTTGGGATTCAATTTCTATTATTATCAAACTAAACTATATTCTTACAGGTCCAATATCAAATTTGTTATATATTAATAATTAAAAATTTAATTGCTAAATTAAACTAAGAAATGTTCGTTTTTCGCTATATTTTGTATTTATTTAATAATGTCAATGTAAAACATTTAATATGGAAAACCTAAATAATATAGAATAAATATTATAAACTTGTTACATTATTTTTTATCGGTGCTGAATATGAATGTAACAACCTAGTGGTCCTAAGAAAAATAAAATATTTTTTTTAAAAAGGCTCACCTATAATATTTATTATTTTTGTACTATTTTGTAAATATACCTTATTTTTAATGTAGATCCAAAAGGCAACCCTGCAAGGTAAAGTTCTCTACTGCATTAACTCGAGACCGTTCATATATTCGGATTTAATGTTAACATTAGACGACTTGGTGCAGTCTGTTTTTCCAACAAGCAGTGTTGCAACTGTTGCACAATTTTTGCAGAAATATTTGAAAACTACATTGTACAGTGGAAATTCGTAAGTTTTTACTACAGCTATTGATTATGCAATAGACAGATTAGCCCTTAGTAAAAGTATATTTGTTTACCATCTGTAGGATGTTATTATAGAGCTCTAGATTCATTTGCATGAGAATTAAATATCACTATACTATTGGCTATCTATTTATTGTATAATTATTGCTACAGTGAATTACACTGACGTGTTATTTAATATTTAGTAACATACTCTAACCTTGGTTTTGTGATTTTTTATGTGAACAGTGAACAGATGGCAGTGTTAAGAGAGAATGGACGCCTTAGATCGCTGTTCCCAGATGACACTCCCTTGGCTATGCTGCAAGATGTAACACATGTGTTTTTGCAGCTCAAAAGCCTGATTGCCAAACAGGATGAACAAATACAACCTTACCAGACCAATGGACCATCAAAGAGGCAGCGGACGAGCTAGGAATGGGGTACTGGGCACGGCGGAAGTCGACCCGACTGGCCAAAACCGGCAACGACAGACAGTGGTTTAGCCACTCAAGTCAACAGTGCCACGGTGTCGGGTTGGTCCCCCTTGACTGCGACAAACGACAGCAATGATTGGCTTAACGCTGCTGCCGGATTATCGCACTCAGCTCAGCAGATACCCCACCACAACACATACTCATCAAGCCGAAGCTCTTGGCCGCCGGCCCCACCTTACATGTAATTATTTGAAGAGTACCTTCCTTTTTTGTATTTAGTTCCATTTATGTTCTCTGTTGACCTCTTGTTGTTTAACAAGATAAGTGGTCAGAGATTCATTTTGTATTGTATAAAGTTACTTAGTGTAATATATTTTTGTATGTGTAATAAAGCTTCAGTTTTTACCTGTTATAACACTACTGCCTGACAAAATAATCGTTTGATTTAATCGATCATCCTAACGAAATATTATTTTTGGTATTTTGTTCCTAAACAGTTTATGTATATTATTATTATTATTATTATTATAAATATTGTGTGCAAGATAATTTAAATTGTTTATAATAATTTAAAGCAATTTCTCTTATATATTTGATATTTTGAATTGTTAACAGTGTATATAGTTGTATATAATGTATATAATTACTCATTGATTTTATTTCAATGCCCTTTAATACCACTATATTATTAATTTGACTTTTGTATTTACTTAAAGAAATATGATATTTTTGAGTATTTATTTTTAATTTTTTATATTTTTGACTACCTTTTAATAAAGTTGTATCAATGTATCTTCATTTAATTTTTGTATGTTAAGTTTTTCATATTTTATGAGTTTATAATAATAAGTCACTTATTGTTTATAAGAGTTGTGTATTTATCACTAATGCCTACCATTATCAATCTAATCCTACATTTTTCCTTAGCTTTAAAGTAGACTTTCCAGGATCACTAAAGAAGAGTCCAATAAAATGTAAATAAAAATTGTATTAAAGTATTTCTGCCAGAATGTGTATAATTTAAACGGATTTTTAGAAACACCAAAACCTGACATATCGTGTTACAAAGTTGGTCTGTGACCCAATGACTCAATCAAGATTTATTTTTAGGAATGCGGTAAAGAATTTCAAAAAAATTTCTGGACTGACTTTAGAATAGTAAATTACTAAATAAGTTAATGAAAATGCCATAATGTACACTTAATCAAGTGTGTGTATTTTAAATGTATGTGTCACCCATCCACTTTTTATAAAATACAATTTTTTTTTTCAAATTATCAAAATAGCTTATGATGAAAAGTTATAACTTTAAGATACTACGTGAAAGTGTATCCATTTTACATAATTATCAATATTATGATATGATTATAGAATGTAGGGAAATTCTTTATTCCCAATAACTTTTTTGATTCAAAATTATCTATATTGTACATACACCTACATAAAGAAATTCATTATTACGTTATAAATTAAGGTACGTGAAGCATCACAGCATCACAAAGTTCACAGAACTAAAAAAAAAAGAAATATTGTTTCATTTAATCATAATGTAGTGGAGACTTCTCAGCACCATATTTTCTTTAATGTACATACATTTAAATTTTGTCTAATATTTTCCAACCATGTCCAACAAACCAATGTGAACATGGGGTATTTTTTACTTTACAGCCAAATATGGTGTTGGTCATATATTTTGTACCAAAAATGTCTGTGAACTTTGTGGTGCCAGCTTCATGTGCCTTATAAATTAAATATATAATATATGTAGGGTATGGTTTCTGGTGATATGTAATAGACTAATGATAATACAGGAATATACATTATTAAGTTAATATAAAACAAATTAAAAATAAAATATACAAACTCTATTCCATAACAGTTTTGAAAAACGTGCTACGTAAACACGTCATTGTTCGCGCAGGTGGGACTATGTGCGTTGCCAACGGTGAGCGTAGTTGACCAAAACAACGAATATACGTAGTGAGCTGCGTTATCAAAACACTTCGCAATCCGCGTATACCCTACGTACATATACGAACTATACCGCGATACGCTGTAGATACGGCGGCGTACTTCAGCGGCCGCCCCACCGCGACGAGAAACGACTGATGCCGAAAGCCACAGCCAATTACAGCGGTCCGACGGTTCGGGCAGCATTTATATGCGTGCGCGAGTTTTTCAAACTAATATGGAATATAGTATAGTTATATGATTAACAGTAAATAATATTGTTATTGAGGTAACAAATTAATATATTTTGTACTTAGAGTTTGAGATATAGTTTCTCTAGCCATTGAATGAACGTGGGAGGTGTTGTGAGATAATCGCTTCTGGGTGTCTGATAGGAGTGAATTGGACGTTCAAAAGCGAAGTGGTTGATGGTCTGTTTCTCAGTCACGTTTTGATGCATTTTGAATTCCCTACGCTTCATTTGTACAAGGAATCTGCACATTTACCATGGATATTATTGACTTTATTAAGTGTGTTTATTTATAGTGGTAAATCAAAGTCTGTGGGAGTATATCTCGGTGATATCTTGCACAGGAGGTTGTTGTTCTACACCGCGGCTACCCATATTTGTTTACAGTTTGCCATCATTTCGAAGTTTGCGTTAGTTAATAAATCCATAGCGGTTTTTATAGGAGGATTTATAGATTTCAGGCCTCTTTTGTCCACATTGTCAATACAATTATTGATGGATAGTTCTGTTGAGGTTTATTTTTGAGAACTCAATCAAACAATTTTAATCAAGGCATTTGCTCTTCGAAGTGGTGGAGGGGCAATTGCTGTTAATATTGGAAGCCAACGAGAGGGGGTCGATTTTATTGTACCGGATATTAGTTCCATGGTAATGTTAAGTTGGCTGTTTAGTTTTGACAAATGCGCGATGTTTAGCTATACAGCACATCCTTTCGCCGCTGGATTGACCAGACCAATAAGTATTATTAATATAGTAAACTTGTGTATTTTGTTTTTTTAAAGCTGAGCTTGGCGGTGGTATTTTCGAGATTAATTTAGATCAATTAGGTTTTATGTTGGGCTGCAATGGCTAGGTCATCAGCATATGCAAATTTAACGGAGTAAGTAGTTAGGATATTCACTATTTAAACATTAAACGGCAAAAGAGCTTATACCGAGCCTTGTGCAAGATCGTTATTGAATGTTCTTGTATTACTAGTTTTATCATTAAGATATACTTTGAATGACCTGTTAGTAAGCACGGTATTGATTAGTTGAACGGTATTCTGGTAGCGAAAAGCGGAGTTAAAAAAATCCAAAATATCCAGAGTTTATCAGGAACTCAGGATGCTTTTAATTTGGTCCTGAAGTTTTATCGGGTTTCAAATTCTTAAGGGCTGCTGCGATTTCCATTTCTGTGTATGGAACAGAAAGTTAATGAGTTAGGGTGTATTCTTTTTGGTGTATCTAAAATGTTTCTTTATACGAATCGTATGGGTTTTGTTAGAAGGCATCCTTGACACATTAACTTGTGGATTACCACTTCATTTGGTGATATTGATGTCACGTCTCGTAAACACATATAAGAGACACCAATAATATTAACAGAGAAAAACAATTGACCTATAACTGTACTTGGCTTAACTATAGTACATTTTACCATCAATTCTTAAACCTTCAAAATATTAACTTATATAGTAAAAAATCTATCTTATGCATTTATCATATTTATCATTTACCTATGGGTAACGATTTTATTTTCAAACAAAAGGCGTAAATAAATGTTGAAAACGAAACATTAATACTAAACAACTTACTGTCTATAAAAACATACAGCAGTTATACAAAAAATCATCAAGTGAACGGAATCAAAGAGGAGGTTTTAGATTTGTTTGCAGTAGATCCATCACACACTATAGCCCATTGCATCTCAGCGGATTTAAAAATGAGTAAAGGATTAGCGACACATATAAAAAACAAATTTGGAGACTTATCTCCCCAATTATTGAAACTAAAACCAAGAATAAGTGAAGTTATTTCCATTAATATAGGAAATCAGACAATTCATTACTTAATAACGAAACAAAAATACTTTCACAAACCGACATAAACAAATATAAAAAGTGCACTGGGAAGTCTACACAAAACCATGATTAAATAACACGACCCTAAAATAGCTATTCCCACAATAGAAGCTGGATTAGATAAACGAAATAGGTCCATTATAAAACAAATAATATACTCCGAATTTAAAAATTCTAATATAGAACTACTCATTTGTCATAAAAAATTAACTGATGTAACAAATAGTTGGAAAACACGAGAGCACAAAATTATTAATTTAATACGTGACCATTATTACTTTGACAAACTAATTAAGAAAGTCAATAATATAAACTACAATCACGAATATAATAATAAATTACGGCATAACAACTATAATGTTAACACACAAATCAATAATAAAAACGATAATAAATTAGAAGCAATTCCTTATAATAAGTATAACATCGACAATAGTGAAGATAATGAAATAAATCTAATCTTTAGTAGTTACAAACCCGGCAAGAATGTTCATGGGAATAGAATTTGTGGTCTCTATGTCCTATGCAACGTTTTAAACGATAATAAAGAAAAAAAGATAGCTTCTATAGGCCTTTTTTTAGAATTATTACAGTTATCAGACCTCCCTGGTCATTGATGGTCCGATGAAGAATTGGCCTTCATTGCCGATTATTATAATCATGAGACTTATATATTTGACGAAAAAACTAAAACGACCATCACGATAAAAATAAAAATCAATCTCCAATTATTCTCTACAATACAGACAATAATACTCATTGGATTCCCGGTACTAAATATACAAAGCCATCATTCAAAATACCAAACAATTATATTGAAATAAACGATATTACACCATTAGAACAAATAATTACAAAAATAAAAAACATTGAACAGATTCAAATTAAAAAGGTGCATAGCAATAATAAGTTAATCACCACTAACCCTAACCTAATAAACAACAAAGAAATACTATATGACAATAAAAACATTCCAATTAACATATCCCATAAACTAAATCTATTACAGCATAAACAAGCAATACAATTATTAAAAAAATACTTACATTTATTTACATCAGATGCATCTAATATAAAATCAGCAAATGTAAAACCGTGCGAGATAAAATTGAAACCAAACTGCAAAGACCCAAAATTTCATGCTCCCCCTCCCATAGAGTATCTCCATAACAAAGAGATAAGCTCAAAATACAATTAGATAAATTAAATAAAGCCGACATTATTCGTCCAATAATATCTAAATTTGCAGCGCCAGCCTTTTTAGTCAAGAAAAAGGAAAAGGGTTCATATAAATTAGTAGTATCCTACAAAGAACTGAACAAAAGAGCCGAGACAGACCAATATTCCATACCTAGAACCTCTGACTTATTAAGAACTTTAAGAGGGAGCTACTTATTTTACTTCTCTAGATCTAAATAGTGATTTTTCCAACTTCCTATTAAAGAGGAAGACCAACATAAGTTAGCTTTTACATCGGTTCATTAGCTAATGACCTTTACCAGATTACTATTCAAAAATAGTGCTATTTTTCAAATAATTTTAAATGAAGCTTTTTCTGTACTATTATACAAATCTATAGTTATTTACATTGACGATTTCGTCTCTTACGGAAAAAATTTCAATGAAGCACTTGTAAATTTGGAAAAAGCGTTTAAAAAATTGATTTATTAAACTTTTCTCTGAAAACGACCAAATACCATTTTTTCAATAACAAAATACAATTACATGGTCACGTAATATCTCGAGACGGTACAAAACCCACTGATACTAACACAAAGGCAATTACTGAATTTAAACAACCGAAAACTCAGAAAGATGTTAG